GCTTTGAGTTAGGAGAGCACAATCATGCATCTATAGACGCTGTGTGAATGGATTCCTCCAGGCATGGGTTGAAAATATTCAGGAAAAAACAATGCGTTTTTAAATATATATATAGTTTCCTTCTTTTTAATTATTTTATTTATTTGTGTGTGTGCACTAGTGTACTTATGTCACATAGTGCATGTGGAGATCAGAGAACAACTTTTAGAATCTATTCTCTCCTTCCACCATGTGAGTACTGACCATCAGCCTTGGCACCAAGTGCTTTTATCCACTGATCCATACCAATGGCCAAACTTTTTTCTTGATACTTTCCAAACAATATAGTATAACAACTATGGTGCATAGACTGCATTAGTTATTGTAAGTAACCTAGAGATAATTTAAATGTGAGGGGGGAAATTATATGCAAACTCAATTCCATTTTATAGAATGGCCTTCTGCATCTACAGCATTGAGTATCTACAGTTCCTGAAACCAAGCATCTGTGGACACCAAAAGACAAATATATATGACCTTATGAAACACAGACTGCTATGTCAACTTCTTAAAAAACTGATCATATGGTTCACATTGGTCATTTTCTCATCACTACAACAAAATACCTGACACAAGCAAGTTAAGAATTGGTTTTGGCTCATCGTTGTAGAGGTGTTGTAATATTTAAGGTAGAGCAGAACTCACCTGTGTTGGTTGGGAAGCAAAAAGACAGAATACCAGCTCTACAAGACTTTCTCCTTTCCCTTTTAGTCCATCCAGCCCATACCCCATGTGATGGTGTCCTCTATGTTCAGGGTGGGTTTCTCTTACTTAGTTAAGCCTCTTGGGGAAGGCTCTCATAGACAGAGCCAGAGTGTGACTTTCTAAGCTCCTAGGTGCTCAGTCCAAGCAGGCTGGCATTCAAGATCAATCATCACCCATAGCCTCACACATCAGCAATAAGAACATAATGATTACAACATGGGAAAGATCAAGCCAATACCAGCAAGACAGCTCAATACTAGTCACAAAGAGGAAGGGATACCTTACTATGTTAAGTGAGTTAAAAGCTCTCAGAATGAGGACTAGAGAGATGGTTCCACAGTTAGTAGCACTCGTATTTGTCCAGAAGACCCAGGTTTGATTCCCAGCAGCTGTGTGGCTATTCACACCCATCCCTGTAACTCCAGTTCCAAGGGATCTGGCTCCCTCTTATGGCTTCCACAGGCACTGCATACACACGGTGCACAGATGCACATGCAGACAGAACACCCACACACATAAAATAAAGTTTAAATTTAAAAGGACATTTCAGAACAAGACCAGATGTACTGCAAGGAACTTAAGGTACTTATAAATGTGGCAGACAACTCCTGCTGGAAGGAAACAGCTGAAGAACAAAGAGACCGAGTGCTCTGATTTTCAACAGAGGAGATGGGGAAGTGGCTTGTGAGAACGGGAAGCAAGTACATTTCCCAAAACCTCAAGACTTACCAAAGGAACACTTAAATGCTGCCGCAAACCATCAGAACAGGGCTGGCAAGATGTTCATGGAGTAAAGGCCCTTTGCACCAAGCCTGATTACTTGAGTCCCATACACAGGATCCACATGGTGGAAGGAGAGAACCAAGCTGTCTTCAGACCTCCTCACACACGCCGCGACACCCATCTGCCCATATGCAAGCACATATGTACACACAAAACAAGTAAATTGTGATCAAGTTTTAATGTGAGGCATTGCCCCTGCTTCTTTCCTACAGATTATTATAAATCTAATTATTGTCTTTTATTCAAATTTTTCTAAGTGTAGGAAAATGTGTTTGGGTCTCTGTGACAGAGCTACTGTACTTAAAAAAAAAAAAAAAGTAAGCTAGAGTGCCATTTTAGGAACATGCCAGGACCACTGTTTTGTTTTTATGGGTTCATTTGCTAAAAATTTGGTCTGTAGATTAAGCGATTTTCTTTTTCCCCCTTTATTCTTCTCTCATACATTATATCCCCACTGCAGTTTCCTCTCTCTCCACTCCCCCCAGTCCATCCCCCCCAACTTCTCTCTCCCCCAGATCTGTTCCTCCTCCATTTCCCTTCAAAAGAAGAAAAAAGGAGCAGGCTTCCTCAGGGATATCAGCCAAACATGACCTAACAAGCTACAAAAAGCCTAGGCATAAATCCTTATATCAAGGCTGGATGAGACAAACCAGTAGAAGGAAAAGGATCCCAATCACTGGCGAAAGAGTCAGAGGCACTTCCCACTCCCACTGTTGGGAGTCCCACAAGAACACCAAGCTGTACAACCATAAGGCCATGACCTAGCTTAGACTCATACAGGATCTGTGATTGTCGCTCCAGTCTCTCCGAGCCACTATGAGGCCTGCTTAGTTGATTCTGTGGGCTGTGTTCTTGTGGTGTTCTCTGCCCCACTGGCTCCTACAATCCTTCCTCTTCTTCTTCTGCAGGGTTCAGATGAAGTGATTTTCATGCCTACAAATGAAATCAAACTTAAGCAGGAAGATTTATTTCATGGCTGAATTGAAATTCAATAAAAAATATTAACAGAATTTGAAGGCTGAAACTAATAAACCTTAACAGTAATTGCCAAGTTTCATAACAAAATTTCCCAAATTCTATGCACCAGAACAAAATGACTCTGTTGTAACAAGTCAGGTGAAAAACACTTCAGCTTTTAACTGAATGTAAGCCCATTGTGATGGATGTGCTGCTCAGATGCATTTTAATAAATTCTCTCTCCTAAGCAATTGTGTTCAAATTCCACTGGATTTGTTCTGCTCAGACCACACAGAAAACATTAGCACGTATTCATGATGTTACTAAAGACGCTGATGGAGTAAAAAAATCTTCCAAGAAAGTGGCCAGGGTGGCCTAAGGTTGGAATTGACTAGAAAATTTTGTACACTAAGGAAGCTTAGTCCCAAACAAAAAGTTCTCGTGGTAGAACATGGAGGAAATAATTCCCTTATTAAGGAAAATGTACTAAGAGCATTTAACGAAGTTAGGGGAGGAAGGAGTGCAGAATTCGGAGTCCAGAGAACTTCCTTACATCAGAAGGGGTTACGTTGTGAAGAGTCGGCTATCACAACAAGAAAGTCCTAGATCACTCTCAGGGGTGTTCCTCACTAGCTCAGGAGTTGGGGAAAAAAATGTTGCTAAAGTCAATTTTGAAGACCTCAAGGGCTGATACTCAACACAAGATGGCGTTTACGACCCCGTGGCTCTCTGCCCAGGAAGAAACCTGAATGGGGATCTCTGTGACTCCGTGTGTGACATCTTAGTATGGAGCATTTCCTGCGTACAGTTCATTTACAGTCAGCTGTTCCTCTGCATTCCCTTTCGAAACATCAGTGTTAAGTCCCCCTTTCAGCGAGAGAGCAGGAGAAAAGAGGACCAGGGCTGGGGCCAGGCTTTCCCTTTGATTCCAGGCATGCCTAATCCGTTAAATCAACTCGAGTTTATAACTGAGTGTAAAGGTTCAGGTTTCTCTTCCAGAAATAGGGCGGGGGATGCTCAGCAGCTGCTAGGACTAGGGAGTGGCTGAGAGTTGGAAAACGTCTCAACACCATCTACCGGCCTTTTACAATTGGTTACCGGGGCGGGGGGGGGGGGGGGGGCTGAAAAAAAAAAGACACAAACTAGGGAAGCGAAAAATCGGCCCTTATCCTCACCCCAAAGCTTCCCTCAAGCCGTCATTTGCTTCCAGGCTGAGCGATGAGGTGAGAACAGGTGTGCCACACCCTACTCCACTTGCCATAAGCAGAAATTGTCTTGCTGTGCCGCTTGGGTTGGGAAACCATTAGTCAAGGCAAGACAAAGGCTAGGCAGACAGGCCTGGGGGGGAGATGGGGTGGAGGGCTAAGAGAAGCCTGCCAGGAGCCACCGTAGCACAGTGAACATTATAGATGACATCATTGCTTCAAAGAGATGTGTTCCTCCCTTTCCCAGAGCTGTAGGCAAGCGTATTTGGGAGGCCGCAGCAGTAGGGTTGCCCGGAAAGGGTGAATTGGTGGGTAACTGTGTGTCCATAACCCAGAAAGAAGCCCAGACAGTAGGAGACCGGCTGACACCCAGTTAGCCAGACAAGAAGCCACCTCCGCGGGAGGTGTTTGCGCTGAGCCGGGCTCCGCCCCCTCGTCTCAGCGCCAGCCCTGGGAGGGGCACGCCGGTTTAGGGGAGGGAAATGTGTGTTCAAGGGGGAGGGTCCGTAGCGACCGTGGCGGTGGAGAGCCGCTTGCGCATGTCAAGGCTAGCAACACATTCGGCAAAGGGGCGACTCTGAAGAGGGGCGGCTCGATCACCCAATCACCCAGCGTCAGGGCTCCACAGGATCCAGGGGCGCGCTCCACGGAAGGGGTTCCTTCCCTCTACCACCCTCCACCTCTGAGATCACCAACCCTACGGGAGCTCTCGCTTCTTTTCCAGCCCCTCGAGGACCTCCCGGGAATCCGGGCCCCTGTGTACAAGACTGAGGTGAAACAAATTTTGTAGCCCAGACGACGGCTGGAGTCGGGACACACCCAGCCGGAAAAGCCTGCCGGAGCTCCTGAGTCTCGGAGGATCTAAGTCGGAGTGTCGCTGTCCCTAGGGGAGGCGAGAGGTGAATCAACATGACTCCTTCGACAGTCCAGCATCCCCGCGCCGGCTGCGCGCTTCCCTTCTCAGGCTACTTTGCTTTGGTTGCAAAAGCTAGACGCAGGGGAGAGATTGGAATTCCAAGATCGGGGTGGGCGGGGAGGCTACTGTCCGTGGTGCTGAGCCAAGCCTGGGGACTCGCTCCAGCGAGACATCACGAGGTGGCCTGAGCTGACACCCAACCTCGGCTCCAGATCCCGCAGACCCCCACCCCCACCCCCAGGCAGGGCCTATGACCTTTTTCTTCCTCCTCCCACTCAGAAGGTCTCTCCCTTAGGGGTAGTTGATCCCTAAGGGTTTCCTCGAAAGAATCAGAGGGCGAAGTCCTTGACAGAGATTCTCTCTGTTTAGCTTCAGAAACCACTCACGGAAAAAAGATGCCTGCCTTCAACAGATTGCTTCCCCTAGCTTCTCTCATGCTCATCTGCTGGGGTAAGTACAGCACCCTGCCCTGCAATATGCAGATAACAGGCATCATGGTGACAATAATAACACTTATTTATGTCGCTGGTGGCAAAAGGAGCTCTCTTGGCTTCCTTCCGTGCATGTCTGCCAGACATGGGTGTCCACATGTGCTTTGGAGATTGCAAAGGCACCTCCTCCAATGACCTGTAGTTTGATTTTTCCCCCTAACCTTCTTTGGTGCTTCTCCCAGCCTCCTTCCTTTCCTAATTATTCCCATTTCTCCCCCGGCTTTCCCCTTTGCTCAAAAGGAATGTATCACATCCATTATTTTAAAATTCTTGCTTGCATTTACATTGTATCACTCAGTGAAGAGTCAGTTCTGAACATCTCAGTGGGTTGGGGGAGGGCTCATTTCTCTCTACTTAAAAAAAAAGCATAAAAACTGGATGCATAAATCTTAAGAGAGAAAATACTGTAGTTCATCCATCTGTTAAATTTTAACAAGGAATGGATGAGATAGTGGCTTTAGCCATTTGCTGGTGTGAATTGGTAGATGGGAAGTGCATTTAGTTTGCAAGAACATTTAGAGCTGAAGTGCTTTGGTGTTTGGTGAGCTGGGTTGCTTTGTTTGTTTGCTGGAGTTTTGTTGTTGTTTTTACTCTTGGTTGTCACCTGTGACAGACTAAGTGGCATTGCCACTCCAGACAAGGGACTTGTGACAATAACATTGGGCTAAACAGCTTAATGTGTGGCTTACAACAAGGTACCTGAATGAGTGCTAAGGGAATTGGGCATCTAGATGCTAATAAAATACTGAAATACACACAGTATTTTACTGTATGTAAATGTATGTATGCACTAGCATGTATCTGAGCATATTAGTATGATTATCTAAATAGACTAGTGAGACTCAGCAGCATGTGTGTGTGCACGTGAGTGTGTGTGTGTTCCTGACATTTTTGCTTTCATGTCTCTGACCCAGCCCTCAGATCAAGTATAGGTGCTCTTTGTTTCATAAATCAGTTTATGTTGGTTTAGCTACCTTCCTCCAGACTCACTCTACTTAATAAAATAAAATAAAATAAAATAAAATAAAATAAGGGATTGTGTCCACCTCCCTTACAGAAAGTAGGCTTGTGAGATTATGTTCCTGTACTGGGCTTGGTTCCCATTCTGCCTGGGCGGGCAGTGGCAGGCATGCCTTTTTGCCTTAGTATCACTTTGTCAAGCCTTGGATAGGAACTGTAGCTGCATGTATTATTTGGATTTTGCATGTGACCAGAGGAAAAGCCCAGTTTCCTGTTGAGCAAAATGCCTAATGAAACAAGAATGGGAAGGAAAAAGAAGAAAATAATGCCAACCCCAAGGGTGGACTCACCACAACCCATTCCCTGAAGACTACAGCATACTCGGAGGTGATGCTGACATAATGCGCTCAGTGAGCTCACCTGTCTTGAAGATCAAGGCTGCTATTTGCTCCAGAGAAATGCTCGGGCTGTGAGGCTTAGAAGAGGTTAGTCTGGCAGGATAAGAGAAGGCGTGGGTGAGGCTCAAATTGTAGAGAAGTGCTGAAAGAGAGCTGTAGAAATTTTTTTCCAAAATTTAAATTCTTAAGGTTCCTTCCTGAATTTCTGGGGCAAGGGGGGCATGCTGCAGTCTCAGCAGTTTTTGATTAAGACACACAAAGCTCTGGTTTGCATCTTGCCTCTATCAGTTCTACTACTTCGTTTTTATTAGGTAGCATCCTCAGAATGCCTGATAAAGGTGAAGTTTGGAAATTGTCACAGATTATATATAATACCCCTCTCAGCTCACAACTCAACCAGAAGGGAATACTTACAAAATATTGCTAGAATTTGCAGTGGATCCATTATCTCTTCTCCCTCCAAAATCTTCAGAACAATTAACAGCATAGGTCACATCTATCCTTGCTCATTGCAGGATTGTGTAATCCAAACATTAGTTCCACAAAAGGGTTTAAGAATGCTTGGTGGTTTGTGTAGGGGGAAGAGCCTCACTCACAAGTGCAGTTTTACTTTATTTGCATATAATTCTTATATCCTTTAGGTCTTTTGGCCAGCACATCACAGAGGGATGACATGAGAGTTATTTCCACTTTAGGTATGAGAATATGAGTTCATAAAGGGCTGAGGGCTTGCTAGAGAGCTGCTGTCTTCCTGAGCTAGAGAGCTCCATCTTTCAGCATCTCTTGTAGACACATGTGATGCTATGTGCAATTGTCAGTTGGACATTAGTCCTGGAATTTCTTCTCCTTCTCATTCCCCAACACCACCACATTTCCTAGGGTTTCATCCATCTTTAGCTCCTAGTGCCTTCTCTACTTTTGCTCTCCAAGGGTCCCTTGTATTGGGGGGGGGTATTCTTCTTCCCTTGGCAGCCCTTCCTGGAGCTCATGCCTTCAAGACTCTACTAATCTGATAGACCAAATCGTTTTAGGATGTTAATGTCTAAAAATAACTTTATTCATGCCCCCTTGCACATTATTTACATTATAATTAAAGCCTTATTATCTTACTGTGGAGGAAGCATTCTAGAGAAAGCTCAGGAAGTGGAAAGAAGAGAAAGATCTGGAAGGAGCAGAGGAGTTTTTGTTGTTGTTGTTGTTGCTGCTGTTGTTTTGTTTTGGTTAGTCTGTCATCCTTAATCCATCATGTTTTTTCCTCATGATTGTCTTCCTCATTACTTTAGAAATGAAGGTGAATTCCAAGGTCAATGATGCAGCCCACATCATTCCAAGAGATTATGATCTATAGCCAGTGACGTGGGTTGACCTCTTCCATGTATTCTACCTTTTGTGTGTACCTAGAAAATGCCACGGAAAAAAAGGCAGTGGCATGGTGGAGCAACTGACTTCACTGTTGATGGAAGGAGCAGCAGGTCCTATTGCAGGGTGCAAACAAATGAGGGGAGAGAGTTTTGTGGCCATTTTATAATGTGCTGTCCGGAACTGAAGGGGCAGAGTTCCTTTACCTGGAAAGTGGACTTTTGCCAGAAGGTTCACAGTGGGCATGCTCTCCAAGGACACTCTAAAGAGAGTAGCTATACTCCATACACTGCCACCCACCACCCTGACTGTGCAGTGTGTTTCCCTCTTTCACTACCAATGAATGGCTGTGCTCCTCTTCTGCTGTCCAGCCTGTGCTCATGAGAACCCAACATTGTTAAGCCAGTTCTGCCATCACCTAAGCAAAAGAACTTTCCAATCTTACCATTGTACAACTTCTTTAATTTTTTAAAAAGTTATTTTGTATGTGTGTGTGTGTGTGTGTGTGTTGGTGTGGGGATATGTGTACATGTGTGTGGGTGTCCTAGAGGCCAGAGATGGGTGTCAGATCCCCTGGAGCTGAAGTTACAGATGGTTAAGGTACCTGACATGGATGCTGGGAACCAAATTCAGGTCCTCTACAAAGAAAAGCAAGTACTCTTAAACATTGAGCCATCTCTTTGGCTGCCCAAAATTTTTTTATTGAACTTATTTCTTGGGTGGGGGGAGCACATGCCATTGTGCATACATAGAGTGGTCAGAAGATAACTTATGAGAGTCACTTCTTTCCTTCTATCATGTTGAGCCCGGGGGTTGAACTCAGGTTTGTTCAGCTTGCTGCAAGTGGCTTCATTGGCTGTGCCATCTTGCCAGCCCATGCACCAAACTCTTGATCATTCTTTCTTTTACCTTTGAATCCTCTTCACCTGCCAATTTATTCTCCACTTGGCACACTGACCATGCAGCATCATAGAAATTAGATTATTCAGCTCAGAACCCTCAAGGTTCCTTAGTTTATGCTGTGTAAAAGTCAAAGCTCTAACAGTGGCCTATGAGACCTACAGAGATGGGGCCCTTCATATCCCTCACCCGTCTCATCTCTCCCTTCTCGCTGTGTGCTGGTTTCCCACACTGGGCTTTGCTGTTCTTCGAATATGACAGGCACATTCATTTGAACCTTGAAGTGGCTGTTTACTCTTGCTTGTCATGACCTCACACAGACAGCCCTGTGGCTTCTTCTCCCCCCCACCCTACCCCCAGCTTCAGTGGCTTCTCAGTGCCAATATTCTTAGTGAGGCTGGCTCTGGTAATATGTCTCTCCTCTCCTCTCCTTGCCTTGCCTTGCCTTGCCTCTCCTCCCCTCTCCATCTCCCATCACCCTCTCTGCTCTCCCTATTCCCCTCTCTCTCCTCTACTCTTATTTTGTTCTGTAACCTACTTGTACCACCTCCATTGGAATTCAGGCTCCAAGAGAGCAGGGATGGTTTTGTTTGGTTCTTGGTGCCTAGAACAGTGTTGGCTGCATGGTGGGTATTCAATACATTCACCAAATAAATGGAAGATAAATACCATTATTAATGATATTTATCCAATGCACAATCATGGGAATTAATCTATAGGATTTTCATGACCTATCTACTGGGTGTTTTATTTTTAAAAAATATTGAATATACTGAGTCTCAGAGAAGTTAAGTAGTCAGTCAGATACAGTCCTTAAGTTTTCAAACATCACTTGCCCCGCTTCTATAGTTGTAGCTGTGCATTCCTTGGAACTTTTCCTTTCATGTCTCTGAGGCCATCCATATTGATCTGAAGACTTCTCGTCAAATATGAGGGTTTATGTCACATGCAGTTCTTGCTGCATACTTTTGCACAACAATATTTTCTTAGTTGCTTTGAAAGTGAGTCTGTAATAAAAACTATAAGTGTATCACACACCCAGTGTTTCTAACCATTTCCCCCAAGATGTGGACCCTTCTCCCTTGAAACAATGAAACCGATCTTCTGTAGACCACTGGATAAGGCTAGTCCACTTCCCTTGAGGGTTTAAAAGCCAATTAATCTTTTTCATTTAGAACATTTTAAAACTTTAATTATAGTGCCAACAGGCTCTAAATTCTAAGTTTAAAATGAAATATGATGGCATTGAGCTAGTTTTAAAATATCAGTGTATATTATTTCACCTTGCAGAGTCTGCATTTATCATTAATTCAGGACAGGTGCATCAGAGGATCCCTTCAAAGTCCTGATGGTAGTTGTTATACTTTTCCATCTTCCAAATAATTAGGTGTAAAATCTCTTACCAAATAGTTTTATTTTTGTATTTATGAACAGCTGCAGAATCGGAAAATATATTTTATTTTTAAGTTTTTTTTTTTTGAGACAGAGTCTCATATAACCTAGGCTGGCCTCAAATGCAATATGTAGCAAGGAAGACTGAATTTCTGATCCTCCTGCCTCAGTATCCTGAGGGATGGGATTGCAGGCATGTACAACCACACCTGATTTATTAAATGTTGGAGCTTCATGCATATCAGGCAAGCACTCCACCAACTGAGCTACAGTCACAAACCAATCTTTGCTATTAATTTGTTGGATACAGAATTGTACTCAGTAGCCCACACTGTCCTCACACTTGCAGCAATCCTGGCTAAGAAAGATTTTCTAAAGTTAGGTTTGATGGCACATCCCTGTAATTTCACCTCAAAGACTGACGCAGGAGGATTGTGAGTTCAAAGTTAGCCTGGGCAACACAGTAAGACCCTGTTTCAAAACGCAAAACAAAAACAAATTAACTGCACAAAAGTGATTTTTAAGACTTTTAAAACTGAGTATAATTGAATTTCTTTTCCATTTGTTAGCCTGAAATTGTTAGTTTGAAGACAAGCCTGCCCTGTGTCCACTTTCCCACGTTTGTTCCTTACTGGGTCTTGTTGATGGGGCTTGGGTGGGCACTCACTGAACAGCCTCCTTTTGTTAAATGTGACATGCCGAGCTGATCGTACCATCTGGATTTGTTCTGAACATTGCAGAATTACCCCCTCCTTCCCTCTGCACACTGTACGTCTGTTCATGCATCCTACCTTTGTTCATGCTTTGTTGGCATCTGTGTCCTGCTTTTGATTCGTTCCAAACATGCAGTCTGACACAGTCACCTTTCTTTGGACTTGGAGTATCTAGAGGGCAGGAACCAAAAGTCCAAACCTCCTTCTGTTTGATCATCTGACCCCTCCAGCATTTGAATTTTGTCTCTCTACTCTGCACAGATCTTGCTCCAGACTCAGTGGTCCATTCATCATATTCACACTGATGCTGCTCCATGCTCCATGGGTCCCCAAACACCCATCTGATTCCCTCTCCCCTTGGCTTTAGAGCCCTGGATATATTACACCACAAAGTACATGCAGGTCTTTCCGGCATGAGTCTTATCTGCCTCTCTATCTCATGTCCCACCAGCCTTTTCTTCTCCCCAGCCCAAGCCCAAGTAGCTAATTGCCCCTCTGTGGGAACTGAGCACATTCCTAACATGACCTCTCGTGTGTTCTGGTTGAATCACCACAAGAAACTGCAATTCTCTGCTAGATTATAGATGTACGGAGAGCATGGCTAGTGTCTTGTTCGTTCTCGGGTCTCTAATTTAGCATTAGACCTGGCAAAGAATGCATCTCATGACTGCTGAATGAATGATCAAGTGGATGGACAGTTAATGGATGGAAGCCAGGTCTGTCTCCTACGAGACTTCAAGGCTTCGAAGTCAGGCTCAAGTCTGTCCTAAGCGGCATCTTCATGGCTTCCAAAAACTTCGTCAATGTTGGAGGATCCATCTCCGCACCATCTTACTCTAAACCTATTCTGACCATGCATACTCAGCGAGCCCCAGCAACAGGTACACACGTGGATCTTGTTATTTTCAAGTGTCTCATGATTCTCTCTTCTCTGTCTTTCCTCCCTCCCTCCTCATTCCCCAATGCCCCCTCCGGCTGTCCCCTTCTTGTCACCCATCCTCTCTCCAGTCAGAGTCTGCTTCCCTGTGTGTGTGGAAGTGCCCTCGGAGACGGAAGCCGTGCAGGGCAATCCCATGAAGCTGCGCTGCATCTCCTGCATGAAGAGGGAGGAGGTGGAGGCCACCACTGTGGTGGAATGGTTCTACAGGCCTGAGGGCGGTAAAGATTTCCTTGTATGTCAGACTGCTGCCTCCGGCTTTCTTTTGCTGGTCTGTGCTGTTGTATGCCTGGCTCCCAGCAGTCTGGGAGACGATGTCCTGACATGACATTCGCTCCTCTCCTGAGCGCTTACATCACCTCAGCAGATAGCTGACAGCCTTATAGTAGCCCAGGGTCTTTGCAAGGCAGGCCACTTGGCCGGCTGTGAGCAGCCCTGGTTACAAGCGTGAGAAGCTTGTAACCGGCAGGCCACTTGGCCGGCTGTGAGCAGCCCTGGTTACAAGCGTGAGAAGGGGTGCAAAGAGGTAAATGTGCTGAGAGAGCCTGGTAGACCTCTTACAGGTGCGTTCATCTTCCACACAGTCCTATGAAACGGATTTAATGAAGTTGAAAGAAAGAACACAGGCAGCTTTATGTGGGTAGCACAAGTGAGCTCTTTCAACTCTCACAGCCCCAGTGAAGCAGGAGCAACTGGGATGACCAAAGTGTATCAACTGATATGCCCAGGACAGTCACCTCTGTGGGTAAATTTTTTCATTAGTTCTTGCCATGCTCTGTATCCCAGGTCGCCATGCTGCCATTCTCCTCAGGAGGAACCCTAAACTGTACCCTCCCGATGGTCTAGACACCAAGGGATTCACCCCTGGCATGGCAAGAAGCCCTCCAGACTATGTGCCAGGTCAATGTCCGTTCTGGTTGGTTTGGGACAGTGCTCATGGGGTTGTGATTTATTTAAATCACTGTTAAAACATTCACTGACTCTGGAGCCAGGCTGCCTGGGTTTGATTCTTTTCTTCACACTATTTATCTCCATGCCTTTAGACATATTCAACCTTTTGATGCTTCCAATTATTTTTTTCCTTTTAAGTGGGAATAAAAACAAAAGCTTCATTATCAGTTTGTTACCAAGACTCATGAGCTCCAATTTTTAATTCATTTTAAAAATCCTTGAAATATGATGTGTTTCTTACGGAAACTGAAGCTCAAAAGAGTAACATTAAGTTAGTAAGAGTTTAGATTTGAACACACACACACACACACACACACACACACACACACACACACACACACACACGGGTTTAGATTTGTACATGGTGGTCTGACGGCAAATCCCAGGCTCTTCCCAGAGCTCTACCTTGCTCCCCTAGGTCTCTTCCACAAGACCCACTGCAGACAACAACATGGTGAAATTGACTTGCACTCTTTCATTCCTTCTTTCCCCCAAGGTGGAGTCATTTCTGAGTCTAGGTACTATGTGGTATTTGAATGTAGGCTGGCTCCAACCTGGTGCCAATGCAAGGACCAACACATCGACTTCTTAGAGTCTAACTTAAGCCTGAGTCACACACCAGGGAAGGTACACTCTGATAAGTGCCCATTTCTAGGAAGCTAGAGATCTTGGCTGGATGTGAAGGGTCCATAGGCTTCATGCCTGGTCACATGTTAGCCGTATTCATTGCTAGCATGCCTGTCCCAAACCACAAGGTGTGACTGAAGGACTAAATTGTAGTTAATGTCTAGGAATATGAGTTTTCATTTTAGTCAACACCAATGGTTAGCGGAGACCAGATGAAAAAAGTGTCATGTCAGAGAGTGGAAGTGTCTGAGAAAGAAGTCAGAAAGAGCTGACGTTGGTTCTAATTCAGCCCAAAGCAAAAGTTCTACATGTCTTTCTGTTGTGAGTTCTCTGCTCACTGGCTATCCTTCTACATTATGGATTCCCACCTGTGGCCTGGCTCAGAGTCAGGATGATGGATGCCAGCTCAGAGTCCGGTGTTAAGCTTGGGGCTGTCAGGTATCCTGCCTGCTAACAGCTGCCTTGTTGGTCTCTATATCCTGCTTTCCCCTTGCTGGTCTCCTCGTCACATAGCTCACTGTCCTTCCCTACCCCCTTTCTGTCTCCATCCTTTCTTTTTCCTGTTTCTAGCTTCCTTTATGTATCAGCCACCTTCCTTTCTTCTCCACTCTGCTCCTTTTTCTCTCCCAGGATTCTTTCTGACTACTCTATGCTGCCCCTGCCCCACCATGCCACATGTCCAGACATCTGTTTTCATCTACCCACTCTCTCCCCCGGCTTCCTCTGTGCCTCTTTATCCCACCCCACTATGCTCTGGGTCTTCTGGAACACTGTCTCTTAGCTCTCCTGCCCATGGGAACTCCTGCTCTTCCTTCTGCCCTGGCTCTACCTGGCTCTCTGGCCACCATCTGCTTCTGCTCCTCTCTCTGCAGATATACGAGTATCGAAATGGACACCAGGAGGTGGAGAGCCCGTTCCAAGGTCGTCTGCAGTGGAATGGGAGCAAAGACCTGCAGGACGTGTCCATCACTGTGCTCAATGTCACTCTGAATGACTCTGGCCTCTACACATGCAACGTGTCCAGGGAGTTTGAGTTTGAGGCACACAGGCCCTTTGTGAAGACCACAAGACTAATACCCTTGAGAGTCACTGAAGAGGGTAAGACTAAGGCCTGGAGTCTCTTCAAGGGGTGGGCTAGAGGACAGTGGCTTTCCGAACATGTGATCCTTAGAGAACTCATAAGCTGATGCATGCAGGCCTGCCTTCCTTGCATGGCCCGATTCCTACAGCCAGCCTCATCAGAATCCCTTGCTGTGTTTTCCCTCAAAGCAGACAGGCTAGTGTAGGTAATAGGATAACTTCCCTGGTCCCCAAGAGAAAAGGACAGCCTCCACAAGGCCTACAGCCTTTTTCTTCTGGCCAGTGCTGAATACCAATTTATATGGAAACTTCATCTCTTCTCCTATTTCAAGCCACATATATGTCCAAACAAGTTGCTTTCAAACTTTAGTGAGTCTCAAGTTTCCTCAGTTTTAAAATTTTAAATTTACATG